TTTGGTGGCAACTATTTAAAAAGTAATTGATTGTTTATAGTGAACCAACGCAAAATACAAAAATGAAATTAACATTAACAGCCCTTCTGGGAAAAAAATATTAAATAATGGTACCACAAAGCTTTAATTCATTGCCAGTTACATGCCATTATTTAATTCTTAAGCCTAATACAAGAAAATTTGAATAATCTGCAACCACTCTGCAAATATATGCAATCTACTTGGAATAGTAACAGATGAAATAATGAGTTTCAGAAAATTCATAATGCCAAATTTTATGGTCTTCTTCCCCCCATACGTACACTTAGCAAAAAAGAAAAAGTGGGGGGACAGTTCTATATCTTCCGATCTGCTGGGCTGATTGATGAAACTCAAATGTATAGCACTGTTCAATATAGGAATTTTGACAAAAAATTTGACTTCTCTGAAATGACATGCCAATGTTTGTCCATATTTCGATTCTACGACTCCATCTCTGCTATAATTGATCAAAATAAACTTTATATCTTTTAGTAAATCACAATACTTCATATCTTAATTAAATCAAAACAAAATACAGTCAAAAGTCGTTAATCCGGACTCGTCGGGACTTCGGCAATTCCGGATTATAGATCATCAGTTTAAATCTGGTAAGATGGCATGCAGAAATTATAAAATTAAAAATATGAAACCATAAGAACAATTATGATAATAAAGAAAAATTATGATCTAAAGGGTATCAAAATTTACAAAAAAAAAAAAAAAAAAAAAAAAAAAAAAAAAAAAAGGCTTAATATTTTATTTGTTTACTTTATTAAATATTTCTTTCAATGTAAGTTGTTTTAAGTTGCTTCGTTTTATGTGATAATACTTTCTCTTTAATTCTATAAACAGACATAATTTCTTGTTTCAGTTACAAAGTTTCCGCTTTTCAAGTCCTATAATTGCTGTGTCGAGAATACCGACTAATTTGTCAATCGAAATTTTTTCGTTTTCAACAACCTCTGTGTCACTTTCTTCACTATCGGAAGCAAATTATAATGACGAGGAATTAAATTTAAATCATATCAAAGAGGGAATACATCGAGATGAAATACTACATTTAGTAAGGAATTATAAGCCAAATAAAATGAAAACATCTGCCCTGAAGATAAGGATAGTGCTGACAGATCAACTTCCAATTCATTGCGCACCGCTGCATTCCCCCGATATTCAGAATCGGAATTCAGAAGTGCAGAATCGCTCATGCCGCTTTTTAAAATGGTAAAAACAATTGGATTTTTGTTAATTTTATTGTACTTTTTAAATGAAAATAGGTCGATGTGTACATAGATAAACTCAAGGGTCAGGGGATGCACAGTGCCATTTTTGTGAAATTCTGGGATTTTTTTTTTTAAGTGAAAATAGGTCGATGTGCACATGGATAGCAAGTATGTGCAATTCTTAAAAACGTGTCACGCAGTGCGTGATTCTGCACTTTACCACTTTACCCCAAAATTTTATTGCCGACTTTTCATCATGGGCAATTTCCAAATTGTTAAATCCATAGGATATCAAAAAAGGATTTAAAAATTAAACTAGTATTTTAATGGTGTCTCAAGAAATATAGAATTATATAAACATACGCAATCTGAAACCAGCGCGTACGCTAGATTTGACGCACTGTTAAATGAGCGCATTTGCTAAGATTTGGCGCTTTTGCACATATATTTTCGCTGCAACTTATTTACGGCCTTCAAACAGAAGAGTATCATTTTTTTTTTTTTTTTTTTAACCTTAGAGATACTCATCCTTTTCCAGCTAACTATACATAAAATGGGAAGAAAGGGGTAACCACTTTCCCTCTTAATCACCAGTTACCTGTCTCTTATCAGACTATGTAGTTTCCAGGTCTAAAACCAAATCATCTTCTATTACTATAGATACATTTAAAACCCGACTATTCGACATTGAATTAACCAGAATATTTTAAAAAATTCTACATATTCTCCAAAAATTTAAGCAAACGAAAGACTAGTAAAGCCATCATACAACATATACAAGGCTACAACAAAAGGATAAGTATGACATAATACAATCATAAGGTCTTTCTCTTAATTTTATGATAATCCAGTTTAGTTTTAATAGAGATGCCACCTATATGGTTACCTGGGAACCGTTATTCATTTGGCCAACCGTTTATTTTCATGACACCATCGTCTGTTAATGGAATTATTTTGTGCACACTAATGACTGTTATTGCAAAGCTGCGACAGTTTTAGCTCCTTTTCCTACCGTGCTTCACAAATTGAAACATTTAGTTAAAAAATGTGCTTTTGTCTTTTCTTCAACTAAAAAAAAAAAAAAAAAAAAAAAAAAAAAAAAAAAAAAAAAACTACTGAATTTGGACAAGTGGTGCTATCCTGTTCTCTCTAAAAATAACGATTCCTTTCATAGTTTTCATTTTACTTTTTCAGGTGCTAAGATCAAGTGTATCTCAGATTAAAATCTGACATGACAATTAATGGTATACTGGTTAGGAGAGCCGAGTACGATGTCCATCCCTCCGCAGGAGGTAATGATGGCCAACTATTAAGTACCTCCACAATAAAAATGGCCACCACTTCTTGCCTTAGGAATGGCCCATCTTGAAAAAAGACAAAACAGTGGCTGTCGTTCGAAAAAAGTTTTAATAAAGAAAAATATAAGTTAACTATTTACCAGTTTTTCCTCATATTAAAAAGAAAAATTCTCTATTGGAACCGCAAGCAGAATTTTCACAAAATTACAGAATCATGGGCATCAAGAAAAGTATTTCAACGGATACTATATGCACCTTTATTTCAGAGTTGATCAACTTTCAGTGTTGACGGAATTTCATAATAGGCTAAGATGTCTAAAGCCCATAAAAATATATCAGCTTTTATGTTTGAAATTTTTTTTCTCTTTTTCAAAATCTCATATCTGATAATCCAGCTGATAACAAATGAGACTCCCCCCCCCCCCCATTTTAGCTGAAACTGCAAAATCCATTCATTTAGCTTTCACTAGAAACTGCATTTTTAATATGCTTAATTACAATATATAGAATTTTCACATATTAAGCACTTGGCATTTTCCAGGCTTTCTGGATAGCTGAGATTTTATTATATGACAATGGACAAACAGAAGACAATTCAAAATTTACAGGCACTTAAAGTTGAAATACCACTTAAAACTAGTTCTCTGAAACTACAGTACACTTCTCTCTCTCTATATATAAGATCAATGAACCAGACAACTACTTGGTACATCTACATACAGACAAACCAATGATCAAATCAAATTACTCCAGGATAAATATATTTAAATACTGCAAGTGGTCCAAAACTAATACTGGTCAATATATTAGCAAATAAAAATCTAACTGCCCTGCCCTGATATTTATTCTGAAATCCATAACTGCTTTAATAAAACTACAATCTTAAGATCATTAAAAGCCATAAAAAATCTACCAAAACTAATAAATTCAAAGATAACTACAATGCAGATTACTTACCAAAACTAACAATATTACTTCTGCAAATTATCAATGAAACTGTAGTAACTGACATTGATAACAGCTATAATCATACACAAGGAATCAATTTTTTGATAAAATTACCTTATGAAATTTATTTCGACACTATTTTCTTGATTTCTTTAAAATTTACAATCAGTAATAAATGCAAGGCATGTTTTCTTAGATATGAAAAGTTTGAAAAAAATAAGAAATTACACATTTCAAATGAGAACACTATTTCAATGCAAATATTTCCCACATACTTTTCTTTAAAATATGCATTATTTCAAGTATTAATTTCTAAATTCTTAATAATCAAGATGGAAATAAATTAAGAGACTGAGAATCTCTTAAAGTAGAAAAGAAAATAGCAGACATAATTCACAAAGATTTTTTTTTTTAATTCCATACTAGATTCAATATCAAATTTTAAAAATCCTTAAAATTCAGTTTATTTAATATGTGTAAACTAGCATAATCAAATTAAAAATTAGTTCCTCACATAATCCTACATGTTCTGTCATTATTAGTTCAAAAACTAGTTTCTACATTTTGACCACCATCTTTATAAGAATTGGTTAAGTACCATCTTTTATTTTGCAATATACGAGGCTAAGTACCGTTTTGAAAAAAATTTCGAATCCAATTTTATTTTTACATGAAAATACATGTCTTAAACTATTTTTCAACATAGTTTCCGCCAATGATCAAACACTTGTCATAGCGGGTGACCAGTTTTTGTATACCATCGTCAAAGAAACTTCCCGCCAGTTTCGATAACCACGACTCCACAGCATTTTTCGTGCCATCGTCAGATCCAAAGCGCTTGCCACCAAGCTCGGTCAGACACAATTTCGAACAAAACAGTACGTGAAATTTGTGGAAATGCCTCTGAAAGAGTTGTCACTGTGAAGCGTCTGTTCTCATGAATTGCTTCATCAACTTTCCTTACCAAATCATCGGTGACAACAGAAGGCCGACCACTCCGAGCCTCGGCGTGGACATTTTTTTCGACTTGCATTAAACATTCTTACCCACTTTCTCTCACCATTCCATCACTTATATCGCGTGTTCACCGTGAACTTCTGTCACTTGACGATAAATTTTGGCCGGTTTAACATTCCTCGCGTTCAAAAATTTAATCACGGCACGAATCTCACAGTCAGCGGGAGAGCTAATTGTCTTAAAAAGATTTTGAATGTGCACAGCAAACGGAAAAAACGGAAAACATAACATACAGCAACCAAAATTGCGACAATTGAAAGTCAGTGAACAAGAAAGACTAGTGCGCATGCGCGGGACGCCTACCACAGCGCTGCTACGGCGCTAGAGTGAAACGGTACTTAAGTTTCCGAATACGCTACGTATTTGATTAAAAAAAAAAACATTTTTAAAGAAAAATACAAACATTTCAATCATTACATGCAGCACAAGATAGATTTATAGACAAATGAAAATTCAGAAAGGAACCTTTATAGTAAAATGTAAATGAACTACTTACATCACTATCTCCCCATTTTGCTTTCGTATCTAAAAAGAAATACAAAACTACAATTAAAATCTAGCTCTAGCAAAATATGAGCATTAAATACTAGCATGTTACATATAAATATAAGTTACATGTCACATTAATAACAAATATTTTCATTAATTATAAATTATTTCATTATTCATAAATATTTCATGCTTCATTCCTATTTCCCGTATATTTCCAGATGAAACATTCGATCCTCGAAAAACACAAAAGTTGATTTACATGCTTCTATAAAACCGATTTGTACCACTTTTTTTACTAATGTTTTATATATTATATTTCGTAAATTTGAAGATCGAAATATTTTCAATAGCGGCTACGAAGAAAATGATACTCATCGTCACGAAAAGCAAAGCTTATACCACTTGCTCCTGTAACATCTATAGTACCTTGCATGTGCCATTAAATGGTAGGAAAAACTGTAGTTGCTACTAATGTTAAGACCAAGAATCTTATAGCTGCAGCTTCAGAATATTAAAGTAGCATGTTAATTGATAATAAATCCTTATTTTGCATCTAAGGCGATGAAAAACATTACTTGCATAATTTAGTATTAATACGATAAATTGGCAACTATACATATGAGGAAAATTTATTAATGTGCGTAATAATTTTCATACGAGAGCTTTCTATCACTTCTCGAAAATGAGAAAATACAGAATAGTTCTGCTAGGAAATAAATAAAGCCACCTTATTATGAAATTTATACGTTTAAAATTTTAACACAAACTCGTACTACAATCACATAAAATTAAGTATTTTATAACACTACAGTAATTTTCATTATAGTAGATCACAAATCTAAATTCTGCATTCTTAGAAAAATTTAAATACTTCGGGCAAACGACACACTGATTTTAACTATTAGCTACAATTTGCAGGGGGGAGAAGAGACAGAATACAGTATTTCTGGTATTGTCAAATATTTCATATAATAACAATAAGAAAAACTTTATTCTCCAGAACTGCGATACGTATTAATTAGCATCCGACGGATAACAGTAAAATGGCAGCTAAACAACGCGTCAAAAATTGTAGGCTCACAATATCGTAGGTTTACTAGCATTACTTTCGCATTAATTTACCATCAAAATTATCCAATAAGTTATATAAAAGAAAGGCCCAGTTTAAAATTTAAACACAATTCAACTAAAAACAAACTTCGTAAATGTTCAAACAAAAAATATTTAAATTGTAAATATGATAAACACAAAATCTTTTACCTCAAAAAACAATTCGAAATCATTTACAAAAGGAATTTTTACAGCATAAAATATGCTACATTAATTAGGATAAAAGAAAAAAAAACTCACTCTGAAAAAAATCTTCCATATCTAAATGACGCCTTGAGTCAAACATAAAACAAATCCGAAAAGTTACAGATAATTACAGAAAATTTATCAGCTTCAATTCACTACTGAGTGTAGTTAATAATGATACAGCAAAACAGCTTATTAACACCTCTCTGTAAAATTACGTTATATTCTTAAGTTTCGAAGATTTTCCACAATACACACAGTAACGCACCACAACCAACGACAAACTGGCGTATGAAATTTAAGAATGTGAGAGTGACTGCCAGATTTCAAAACTTAGTTAATAATAAGTTCCAACTTCTTCTTCTTCTTCATGGGTTTAAAAAGGACACTGGAAACTCACTGCAAATGAAAATATTTTTTTATTCGAGTATTTCTTGATTGTTTCCAAGAAAAAGATTACTTGAAAGAAGATTCTCACTTGATAATTAAATTTGAATGTATGAAACTGCAATTAATTTCTGAAAATTTCAGAAGTGATAATGTTTCTATAATGCTCAAGGAAGAGGACCCACAGATCGCCGGGCGCGTATTTCCAGGAGTTTGAACAATTATGTACAGCCAAACGCCAAATGTTTACGGAAAAGTGTACTTTGCTGTGATTGGTTGGAGGGTTTATCTTTTTCACGCCAAACTGGACCTGGCGCCAAATACGTAAATCTAGTAAAAATAGAAATCGTATTCCGCCATTTTCGTCGGTGAGTGTTTTTTTCTGCACGTGCTAATTCTTAATTTGATTTTGTTATTTGTATTATTTTTATTATGTCTTTGTCTAAGCAAACAGGAAAAATGAAAATACTTATAATCGGAGATTCGATGATAAAATATTTAAAAGAATATTTATTGCTGAATTTACTGGATTATGAAGTTCATTTTCATTGTTTTCCGGGTGCTACGATTGGAAAGGTTGACACGCAAGATAACCTTGATAGACAATCAATTTGAGTTAGTTTTGGTTCACGTTGGTACCAATAACTCTTGTGACACTTTGGATGATATTTATCATAAATATGATTGTCTGTATAAGGTTATTCAGCGCCTTAAACCCGAAGATCATTCTCTTTTCAGGTATCCTCCCACGAGGAACGAAATTTATTCGAGAATGGTTTCAACCCGTACAGTTTAAAGAAGCTTAACAGAAAATTAGCTCGGATAAACACTAATCTTTTCGAAGCATTCAAAGGCCGAGAAGCTTTTTCTTTTTGCAGATCTGGTGACTACTATTGGAGTACTTGTCTGTCAAGAGACGGATTGCATCTGAACCGTAAGGGTAATGCACAGCTTGGGAGAATTTTTGTGAAGGATATAAAGAGCGTTTTGAATGTGAAATCCCTTCCAAAGGTAAGTGCTACATCTTTTTCCTCTGTATCTGCTAGTATTGAGTTTCCAGCTTTATCCACTGTTTCAGGAAAACATCCTTCTGTACCTATCACGATTTTGGATAATTATCCTCGTGCTTCTGTCATGTCAGATACTTCAAGTACTCACTCTAAACCTCTTTATTCAAGTGTTTTGAAACGGGTTTCTTCTGTTTGCAGCACTTTGGATAGTCATCCTGATACTTTAGTCTTATCGGATTCTAGTGTTTCAGTTTTGTGTGCTCCTTCAAGTGTTCCTTCGAAACCACTTTATTCAAGTGTTTTGAAAACGGGTTTCGCATGTCTGCACTACATTGGATAGTCGTCCCTAATGCTTTAGCATTATCCAGGTGTTTTGACTGATTTGGATAACCATCCCAGTATTTCAGTATTGTTGGATTCTCCTGATGTTCTTTCTAAACTAAACTCTTTATTCAGATAAAATGGTTCTACCAACACGTCTTTGGATAATCATCATGCCCAGTGGTTTCTTGTTATCGGATTTTCCAGTTCTTGAGCCTATAGCCGACACTGTTTCGAGTATTCTTGACATCACTGCACCAGTTTCTCAGAATTCCAGTACTCCATCTGTTTCTCATTTTTCTGCTGATCCAAGTGTATCTGTTTCTCAGCTTTCTGGTTCTTTGTATCCTGTTACAGTTGCTTCTGAGCTTGCAATTAATTCCATTTCATCTGCTTCTCAGACCGCCTTATGAGATTTTCCATTTCTTTGAAAGTGCTGTTAACATTGGTCCAAATAATGTTGAATGCCATTGCATCTGTTCCTCAATTTTTCTGTTGCTCAACTCTGAATCCTGTGGTTCAATTCTGAATCTTCTGCTTTTCAGGTTTTCTCACCTATTCTAGTTCTCCTGTTTTTCAGACTCGGCTTCTTTCATCTCATCAGATCTTACAGTTGTTGATCTTCGATCTCTCGGCTGTTTTCATGCAGTTTTCATACCATTTCATCAGATTTCACTTTTTGAAGATGATAATGAATGTTCAAACTTTTAAGTTTTGGGGGTGCTAAGAGTCCAAAATAAATCTGAAAAATAACAATAAAATTGAACTCATGAGTAATTATGATAAAGAAAATTGTGCTTCTAATGGAAAATCTAAGATTTGCCCTAATGTAAGAAACCTTTTTCTTCTAAATACAGTCCTTATCTAATCATAAACATAACTGTAAAGGTATTGTAGAAATGAAATATTCCAGAGTGTGTGAAGTTTGCATGAAGTCGTACTCCACTAGACAATCATTTTCCAATCATAAAAAATGTTGCAAAGCACCATCAACTGAATGTATTCCAAAGGCATATATTTTGTGACCAGGTGTGAAGAGAGATTGTAAAAGCCGCAGTAACCTTTTTCATCATAAAAAGATCTGTAGTTATTAAAAAAATCCTACATCTAATAATTTTAAGCC